CCTGGAATATATGGTAAATTTAAAGCTTCTTTTTTAGCTTTTTTTTCATAAACAGATTTTAACTTAGTACTTTTAACTACCATTGAACTATTAGCAAATTTATTAAATACTCTATCTACTATTTTTTGTTGTTTTTCAGAATTTGTAGTGCATACTGAAACGATTAACACATCTTGATAATAAAGCTTTATGTACCAGGCGAAACGTCGGCTAAAATGAAAGTTTTCTTATGATTATCTCGAGCGTAAAGGTCATTTTTTTGTAACTCTACTATATTTGTTATAAGTACCCTTTCAACTGTTATGTATTTAACTAGCAATAATTTATTACTTAACTATTCTTGCCTAGAATATATTTTCAAAGGTCTGTAAATATAAGTATAAAATTCAAAAATGTTTTGTGTTTTTATATGACGCGATTCTTGGTGTGGCGGAATGACAAAAGCTAGAGGTTTTCTATAAACCGATATTACTAGCTTTAAATATCGGAAAAACATTGCAAATAATAGAATAAAATAAAACAAGTATTAAATCATGATAAAGGTTTATCAAATCAATTAACTGTTACATGGCATGACATATTATAAAAATTGACAGGGGATTTTTGTAAATTCCTTTGAAACATCATGACATACAGAGAGTATAAATTGTCTTGTAAGCAACTCCCGAAGACGACGTAGAAATGCATCAAAACATGTAACGTGTTTTTAAGTGGAAGCCGTTGACGGCTTTATTAAACTTTTATGGTGTAAACATGAATCGTTGTGTTTTAATTATTTATTTCATTTTAAACGTTACCCAAGTGCCGATCATTCATACTTAGTTCACACATTATTGTATAATTAGTATCATGAAACTTAGTACGTAAGGTAGGAAGAAAGTTTACACATTACTTTATAATGCAACTTAAGCCTACATTAATGGGAAAGTTCACACTCTATTGTATAATTAGTATAGTGAAACTTATACGAGCAGTAAGGAGAAAGTTTACACGTTATTATATAGTAATATAGCGTAATGTATAACTGTATTTAGGAGAAAATTTACATTGTATTGTATAATTAGTATAATGTAGGTTATACCTACAGTAAGGAGTAAGTTTACACACTAATGTAATTGGTATAATGGTACTTATACCTACAGTAAGGAGTAAGTTTACACATTATTGTAATTGGTATAATGGGACTTATACCTACAGTAAGGAGTAAGTTTACACATTATTGTAACTGGTACAATGGGACTTATACCTACAATAAGAAGAAAGTTGACACATTATCTTATAATTAGTATAATGGAACTTGTACGTGTAATAGAGAGAATGTTTACACATTGTTACATAATTATTGTTGTGTATCCTATGCCTGTCCAAAATAGTTTTGCCATCTAGTTAATTTGTTATAAATTGTACATACACAAATGAGAAGATTTTCACACCATCATGTGTTATATTATACCAGTGATTCTCAACCAGGGGTGAACTTACCCCTTGGGGGTAAAAATTACATGGCAGGGGGTGAATAATTGATGTACCTGATCATTGAATAATAATTCAATTAAATTTCATTTTGTAAAATGTGTGTGTGAGAGTGAGAGAGAGAATGCTAAGAATGTGTGTGTGTGTGAAAGAGAATGCTAAGAATGTGTGTGTGTGTGTGTGTGCTATTTTTGTGCAAAACCTGAATAAGTTTTTTTCTGACCTTCTTGTTTTTCTGTCCCTTTATGATGGCTATGAATTTTTTGTATGGAAGTAAAGGGGTAAATGGAGAAATACATCAAGCCGAGGGGGTTAATGATGGAGGAAAAGTTGAGAATCCCTGTATTATACATTATAGCTCTTATGAAATTAAATTAAAAAAAACTATTAGGTTTTGAATTTCCTTAGGATGTCTTCATTCTTAGTAATGATAGAGAATGCTAACGTCTTTGCTCTAAAGCTGTGTCTCTATTCGTACAGACAAGTACGAGGAATATTTAGAGTGAAATTTTATTTTTCCCTCATATGCTGGATATATGTTAACTGCGACTAACTAAAGGTCGTCTTAATAAGCTAGCATCTGGTCTCTGCTAGTAGCATCATGTGTTATCTGTTTTATAATAGGTATCAAGCTTAATAATTATAAAATGATAATTGAGAGTTACATACAGTGACACCGAGGAAATTTGTCTGCGATCTACACACTAAGTTTCCAGTAGATGTTCCGGAAGAGGTTCAACAGCAAAATCATAAGGAACGACCATGAGCAGTTTTTCGCAATCTCAAAATAGTTTGTAAGAGTGATGTAAATTATCTCTGTTGTGAAGAGATAGTTTAAAAAGTTTTATGCTAGTATATTGATTTCCATCTTTCCTAGCCTTCTAAAGGATGGTATGATTATCGTGAAGCAGTTGAATGTATTATGATACCCGCGTTTTACTGAACTAGTATAATGAAGGCTTAGAGAACGAAAGAGAAATTGTATCGCTCTGAAGGGGGAATTTTGATGAGACGCGTTTTCTTTCAGGATAACTACATTCTTAACACCCTTGGTATACATTTGTTAGCGGTTTTAATCTAATATAGTTGATCTAAGGCAGCAGTTTCGAAATTGTGGGTCGTAGATTCATCCGAGGGGGTCATAAGTAAATAATTATAGTTAGGCCTACTTTTGTTCTGGATTTAAAAAAATTGAAACCCGCCCTGTGAAAGTGTTGGTCGCTATGACACTTTGGTTGCTATGTTCTTTTGATTGCTGTCTGGAGCCACTTAAATATTTTTGTCTCTAAATGGAGAACATAAGAAAAGGTTTGAGAAGTGCTAGTCTGAGGGATTTGAAATTCTCATTTGTTTGTTGTGTATGTGTGTGTGTGTGTGTGAACATAACTTCTGGTTACCTATGGGTTTACTATGAATGTATAGCTGTTTTTCATTCAAATGTCAAACAAAAAATTTTTCTAAAAAAATAAAGTATGGAATTTAAAGAAAACGTGTTTTGTAAAAGAGATTACTTTTTTTCTCTTCTAATAGCCAAGCCTAAGAACTCGTCTGAACGTGTGTATTATAAAGCAGCAATGAAACCTTGTAATTATAAGCACACTTGTACACTCAAGTGCTCATAACAACAACAACAAAAGAAAACAAAAAACATAACTCTAACAGTAGAAGCCGTAGAAAACTGTTGTATACAACATACATGTGAGTTACCCGGGTACATATAGCGCTATAATATGAAAGAAAACGAACTTATACTTTCAGTAAGAATAAAAGAATGAAATCAAAATTCACTAACAGAGCAATCCAGTCCGTGTCGTTAAGTATATCGTGTAATGTAAATAATACAAGTAATTAATAAAACACACATATATATACATATGTAAACGCACTATTCACTACCTTTTAACTATAAATGGGAATAAAATCATTTCACAAAAATTTTCTTACGAATTAAACTAAAATAAAACTGATGAATTTCTGTATCTCAAAAGCATAGATGGAAACGTTTTAGCTTACAAATGTTTAAATCAACCGTTTTTTGTGTGTATTTTATTTATATCTATTTCTATATATGTTGATTACACTGCTTATGAGCTGATCCAGTGAAGTTCAAGTTATTAAATGTTTTCAGTTAAAAAAGTCACTAACTGAAATAAAAGTTCATATAGTGAAATGTACATTTAACTCGAAAATAAAATTATTTATCTGGTACCAACTGAGAAGGATCAATTATTGAAACGTAAATTTAACTCAAGAAAACGAATTATTAATCTTCAAGATTAACAGAAATAAGCCACATATGAGATACAAGTTTAACCAAAGAAAATATAAAATAGATATTAAACTCTAACTGAAGAAGATCTATTGTTGAGAGGAAAATGTTTCATGGGAGACAAACAATTTATAAACCTCTAAAATTCACTGGAGACAGTCACTTGTTGAAATTCAATTTTGTTGAAAGATCAAACAATAAATTCTTTTAAGTTTAATTGAATGAATTGAATAATTAACTTTATATTGAACTCAACCAATAATGTAATTTATACAAATAATTATTAACTCGCCAATTTAGATATACAAATTCTAATTTCTAACAGGGACGGTGCCATCTTTTGGAGAGGTTCGAACTTATTTTTTATATACGATAGTTAATTAACTATAAAGATATTTGTAAAATCAACAAGTTTTTGGTGTCACGTGTCATGTCTTTACTGAAAAACATCCTAAGTTCGTGTTAACAAATAATTTTTATTCTCAGGCGCACGCACATGACAAAGTTTGTTTTAGGGCGTAATAAAATTTCGGCTTGAACAATAAGTATTAAATTTAAACATAAGTTATGAGTGTACCTAACTTTTAAAACGACGTTTGGCAGTTTGTTAAAAATGACAGAATGGAAATTAGTAGAAAATATTATGAGAAGGTATCAGTGTCACAAGAATAGCTTCCGTTAGCAATACTTTAAATTACTTTCGTTCAAAGAGATCTGCCAAAAAGGAAAGAAATCAATCTTGGTGCTGTAATTTCAGATACCCGGGTTAAAAACGGAGCGAGAAATTTTCTGAGAAAACGACGTCTGAGTATCACCTAACTGCCAGGTGTCGGGTGCAGTGTTGCTATGGAAACATTGAAACTTCCAGTTGATAACAAAGCTTCGTGACATTCTGAAATGACGATAAAGCCAAGGTTCGAAGATAACTGGACCATAGAGGGCGCAAGGCTCGATTGCATAATAAATACATCATCATTGAACCGTATGATGAATTCCGGGACTCGTTGATTGGTTATCGTGACTGGTTCTCTTTCCGTTGAATAGTGAAATAAAATCATCCAGGCGTGAAAAGTGGCGATTAAAGTTATTAGATTTTGCTTGTTATCCAGATAGAACGTTTTTATTTGAAAAGTCTCAACAGTAATATTTTTCTGCAAACCTTTCTAAAACTATATACCATTCTGTCTAACTTATTTATGTCAAAAACCACAAGAAATATTGGTTTTAAAAATGAAACAAATAAAGATAATAGCTTTACCTTTCATGATCGGACACAACTTGCTCCAGATTGTTATGCAACCACTGCGGTAGTACTGACCCAGAGCTAACTCCAGGTAAAATAGGGGAAGTCCTCCAAATACTAACATGATTACATATGGTATTAAAAACGCTCCTGAAAAAAAAAAGGTTGGATTATTTTGAACGATATTCGTTATTTATAGAATTATATTAATGAAACATTTCATAACATGTAGTATGATTTCCCGATTATAAAATACGTTAGCTAACCTATTTGTTATTAAAAATTATTTATGTTTATACAGTTGAAAGCTAAGTTCTATTGAAATAATTTGTTTATTTCAACTTATAAAGTTAAAATCTATCTCTATTTATGCAGTCAAAGATTTCGTTTTATTTGTATATTTAAAGGTTTAGATTTATTTCTCTAATGATAATTTTATTTTTGTTCATTAAGCTACAAACTTTGTTCTCTTTATAAAATGAAAGGTTTGATTCTGTTTATGTATTGAAAATTGTAATTTTATTTGTATAGTTAAAGCTTTAGCTATGCGAACTTAATATCTATTTTTCATTCTATCTACGTACGTTCACTCAGGAATATCTAAACAGCATTAAATGAAGCACCATAATTAAAAAGGACAAGTTTTCCTTATTTGATATCAAAAACCAAAGTACAAAATCTTGTCTGGTTTAGTTGCAGTATCGATTTCAAATTACCATGTTATAAACTCAACCCTCCCAATGCAATACCTCTTGAGAACGTTGTGTTATAGGTCAGATTTTGTAGACCTAACATCTGAAAGACGGTTACAATTGTTCTAGGAACTTAAAGGTTTAGGTCTCTCTCTGTATTGTCAATAGATTATTTATTTAAACGCTGGTTAGCAAACAAAATATTAAATTGGGCATTTTTAACGTTATTGTTTGTTTCTCATATATAAATAACTTTCCAAATATAGCATTTTAAAAGATATACAGTATTTTTAAAATTGCGATCAGACTTAGTATTCACATAGAAAACAACCTCTCCTATAACTTCTTTACCTGTTTTTAAGTAAACTTTATATAACTTACAATTAACTCTATCATATACAAAAATCCCTTCTCCTTCTCTAATGATATTCTTCCTTTCGATAATTGATAGTTTACATAAAATTGTAGGTTGAATCTTAGCTACAGTAAATTTTTGATAATTGAATACATTTTTTTCAAAATTTCTTAAACCATATCATTTAACTGGTTATGTATATTTCGTTGTTGTTGTTAAGTGCAAAGCTGCACAATGGGCTATCTTTGCTCTGCCCATCTCAGGTATCCAAACCTGATTTTTAGATTTTTTAATCCCTCATACTTACAGCTGAGCCACCTGGGGGAAGATTATAAACTTTTAATTTATACTAACGTTAGGATAATACTATCAACAACAGTAATACAATGTTTTTAAGGGTGTTTTATAAATTTCTTCAAAATTATTTTTAGCTAAATGTAAACCTTTTTAAGTGATACTTGCTGGATAATTTCGTTTAAAGAGGATATTTTTTAAGTTCATTTAATCTAACTTTCTTTATTTTTTATTAAAACTAAATAGAGTAATCTTTGAGCTCCATTCATTAGAATAACCAATTTAATGTGTTTAGAGGTGATTGCTATAAAAATTCAAATAACAGTATGAATTGATTGGTTTGTGCAAAAACATTCATTTATTTACTTTTCTATTCACAATAATCGTATCTAAGAAATATTATTCTGTAATATAATTTTTGATGAATTGTCATTGAATAGCTCTCTCACTTTTATAAAATTATCAACTTTATATTTTTCATCCAAAGTTATGATTTGTTTGTTTGTTTTGAATTTCGCGCAAAGCTACACGAGGGCTATCTGCGCTAGTCGTCCCTAATTTAGCAGTGTAAGACTAGAGGGAAGGCAGCTAGTCATCACCACCCACCGCCAACTCTTGGGCTACTCTTTTACCAACGAATAGTGGGATTGACCACGGCTGAAAGGGCGAGCATGTTCGGTGGGACGGGGATTCGAACCCGCGACCCGCAGATTGCGAGTTAAGCGCCCTAACCACCTGGCCATGCCGGGCCCCGAAGTTATGAAACAATCATCTGAGTACGTATTCCAAGCCAACTTTAAACATTTACCACTACTTCGCCCCCTGTAGATGGATCTTCATCAAATTTGGTATGGAGGTTAATTGGGTGCATGGGGAAATACATACAAACTTGCGGATTCATAATTTCTTGTCTTGTAGTTTTTATAGACGTTTTTACGTTTTTTACAATTATATATATAAGGTAATCAACTTTTCATGTCTTAATTCATTAATCATGAATTTATATAACTTCCGTCCAGGGGACGAGTACTCCAGCTAGTTTTAAACATATTCTAAATAGGTCATCAGAACTTTACTATACTATACAGAGTTTTCTTTTATAACAATATCAATGTAATGAATGAGTCACAAGTGCTGAGAATGTCTGTAAATATCATAGCAAAGAGTTTGAATTTCTTGCTCTTCTTTCTTCTGATTCTTTTATATTACATGATAAATCAAAAACCAAAACAATGGTGTCAACCAATTTCACTGAGGTGACATAGTTTCAAACGGAGTATCCACTTTTATAAGTATTATTAACGTGTAGTAATTAAAATAACAAAAACATAATTCTAGTATAAACGGTGTTATCATTACCCCTTGCAGTTAGCTTTCTTGCAGAAAAACTTAAGTACAGGGTGAATCCAAAATTACCAGCCAATAACAGATAAACAATAAATATTACAGTTGGAACCTCGTTGTATTTAGAACTTCGTTATAAATACAACCTTCCTATGTCT